TCCTCCAGGAGGAGGGAGAGGCCGAGGATGAGGGCGAAGAGGCCTACACCACCTCGAGGCGGTCCGATGCAGACGCGTCCAAGCCCGCGCCAGGCTCCGACGCCTCTCTGCCTCGGCGCACCCCGGGGGGCCGTCGCCGAACGCTCCGCCTCCCTCGCATCCTCTGCGGCAGCCTGGTGCTAGGCGAGGTTTATCGCCAACTTCTTCGATTCGGGAGTCCGGGGGCGTCCCTGGACCCAGCAACACATTCGCCATGATGATCCTGGGAAAGGTCTGGGGGTCGATTTGGAGCCGAAGTAACGATCGCGGCTTTCCGACAGCGCAGATCGTTCGATACCGACCGACTCAGCGCCAATGGGCGTGTTCAACCTTCGACACCCACGCTGGAGTCGTCACCGCGTCGACGCGGCGCGATCCTACCGCACTCTGGCGGCGCCCACATGAGACAGGCGGGAGGCGCTGGGAGGAAGGCCCTTCTGAGAAGGCAGGGTGCTCCTTCGAGGCCCTCGGAGGTCCAAGAAGGCTTCTTCGAGGCTTTCTGGCCCTTCTGAGAAGCACCCCCCTCGGTGCTGGGTCGCCTATCTTCGCGTGTCACGCACCGCGGTGCGCGACGCGCGGCAGTGTTCGCAACGGCGCCTTGGTCCAGGCCGCAACGCGCGAGGCGCGGTTGTCTTTGCGCCCCTGCGACTGACCTAGTTGGCGCCTCCCCCTCTTGCGCACGCCGCCGAGCAGTCGGCACTCCCAGCATCGCATCGTCTCGGCAGCCTCGGCATGGGTCGTGGTGATGATGATGGCGATGATGATGCTGATGATGCTGATGATGATAATATTCATGATGATGATGATGATGATGCTGATGATAATGATAATGATGGCAATGGTGATGATGCTGATGATGATGATGCTGGTGGTGATGGTGATCGTGCTGGTGATGGCGATGGAGATGGTGATGATGCTGATGATGCTGATGATGCTGATGATGCTGATGATGATGGTTATAGTGCTCATGATGATGATGATGATGATGACGGTGATGATAGGGATGATGGAAATGGTGATAATGCTGGTGATGATAATGATGATGATGGTGATGATGGCGATGAAAATAACGATGATGATGAAGATGATGAGTATGATGACGATGGCGATGATAAGGGTGCTGAGTATGATGATGATGCTGATGACGACAATGCTGATGATGATGCTGATGATGATGGCGATGAAGATGATGATGCTGACGATGATGCTGACGCTGATGGCGATGGTGATGCTGATGCTGAGTATGATGATGATGGTGATGGTAGTGGTGATGGTGATGGTGATTGTGAGGATCATGACGACGGTGATGATGATGATGATGATGGTGATGATGACGATGGTGATGATGATTCGTATAATGCTGATGATGGTGATGGTACTGATGATGATGGGGGTGATGACGGCGATGATGATGATGATGGTGATGATGGTGGAGATGATGGTGATGTTGACGGTGGCGATGATGAAGATGATGATGATGATGATGATGGTGATGATGATGATGCTGATAATGATGGAGATGATGATGGTGATGATGTTGATGTTGATGTTGAGGACATTCAAGATGCTGAGGATGGTGATGATGATTATGATTATGACGATGATGATGATGATGATGGTGGAAATAATGATGATGATAATGATGATGGTGATGATGATGATAGTGATGATGCTGATGATGATGATGGTAATGGTAATGATGCTAATGGTGATAGTGATGGTGAGGATGTTGAGGATGTTGAGCATGTTGATGATCATGATGATGGTTATGAATTTGATGATGATGAGGATGATGATGATGATGATGGTGAGGATGATGCTTACGATGCTGATGATGTGATGATGATGATGATGTTGATGATGGTGGTGATGGTGATGGTGATGGTGTTGTCCGAGCCACAAATGTGATGATGATGCTGATGCTGCTGACGATGCTGTTGATGATGACGATGATGACGATGATGATGATGATGGAGATGATGATGATGATGATGCTGCTGATGATGATGATGATGATGATGATGATGATGATGATGATGATGATGATGATGATGATGATGATGATGATGATGATGATGATGGTGGTGCTGATGATGGTCGTTTTTCGCACGACGACGACGAGGATGATGTTGATGATGGCTTCTGGTGCTGTGCTGTGCGCGGCGCCGCGCACTCGGCACTCCCAGCTTCGCATCGTCTCGACTGCCTCGCCATGGGGCAAGGCCCTAGCGGGCCGCGGGAGGGCAGAGGAGGGAACAAGCACGAGGGGGAGGGATCTCTCGGGATCTCGGGACGGCGGTGGCGTGTCCACGACGGCTATCGCGTGAGGGGGGGTGGAGGAGGAGGGAGGAGGGAGAAGGGGGAGGAGGTGACGGAGGAGGAGGAGGGAGGAGGGAGAGGAGGGAGGAGGGAGGAGAGGGAGGAGGGAGAGGAGGTGACAGGGGAGGAGGAGGAGGGAGGC